ATATTGTTCGAAAACAATTCGCGTGAAACGTGATGGATAGGAAAAACAAAGCAATGAAAAGCAATTCAGTTCCGGATTGACACAAAATTAAATAACACGTCCATGTTTTCTGAACATTTTGTTGACATTGCATATAAATATACGCGTATAACACGATCCTAGATAGAAGGTTGATTTTAACAACATATGGCTAAGCTTCCAATCTTATCTATAACATATGTCAAACAAAGACAGATGTTTGCCAGCCTGTGTGTTTATCGATTAGAAAAGTTAAAACCGATTAATCTTTAATACTATACGGAAGAGGGGACATTTTAACATTGTGTTAATACTTGCATATCAAAGAACGAAAGTAACAAATGAATAGATTGCGTACACTGAAAAAAAAAATTTGTTCAACTAACTGAACACATTTAGTTGTTTGCAGATTTGGTTAATTCAACAAATTTTATTTAATTAAAAATTTTATTTAATTATAGTCTGCTTACAACATTGAATAATTTATTAAAGAGACTGTTAAATTCGATTAAATAAACTTTGTTGAATTAATCTGCAAACTACTAAATGTGTTAGTTCGTTGAACAAATTTTTTTCTCAGTTTAGAAAATGTGAAAGAAAAAAGGAAAATAGAAGACATCTTTTCCAGTAAATAAAATTGAAATGCGATTATTAATATTTGATTATCCACCAAAATAAAGCGGCGATCAACGTTTTCGAGAATAATTACTGAAATTAATGACGGAACAATGAAGGCTCTTATAGCGTAGGTAAACAAACTTTCTTTCCATGTAAATCTCTAATACACCGGGAACAATGGCTTCCGTTGTTTGCAGGCTTTAAGCATGCCGTACTACGAAACTACAATCCCTCAATACCGCTCCTGTGGGATAATTATTAAATGAAGCTGTCACTTTCATAACCGTGATTAATGATATTTAATGAAAGCTAATGGATGCGAATTGTACTGTACGATTATTTGATCAAATGAATGTGAGCGATGCGTTTACTCAGCTTAAATCTGTTTGCCAAGTATAGATGACACCCCGGATATCACAAGAACGACTCTAATGACACTACCGTGGGATATTCGCGTTTCATTATGCAGATAAATATAAATATGTCCAGAGTCTATTTGCTATTAATGATTAACACATTTCTATTTGTTATATTATTTATTAATGTTTATTTATTATTGCAAGATGTTTGATTTTTATACACAATAAAATTACAATAAAATTTTAAAGAAATTTAAAATTTACAATGTTAATATTTAAAAATTCTATAAAAATGATGAATACTTATAAATACCGGATAAATATTATTATATTATATCACAATTAATGATAATTATCTTTATTAAAAAATAATAAAATAAAAGAATTTATATACATGATACATATAATATAAGAAATATTAATTGTATATTATTATGTATCATCATCATGTCATAAACATATAATGAAAAATATAAAGAAAAAAAATTATGAAATTATTATTATTATATTAACATTATGTCAATTTTAAAACATGTACTTTTTGACATTTCTCGATTAATGGTAAAATAGATTTCTGTAAATTCTTACATATGTTTGACAGACTCCTTGCTCCATCTAATAAGCGCAAAATACCTTTAACAGAATTCCTAGAAAAAAATCAATAAGTTACATTATCGATAAGCAACATAAAATAACAACTTTTTAGTAAGAAAATAGTTTTTAATAAGAAAATATTAAAATCATAAATAATAAATTGGTAAAATCTATTTGAAAAAAAAAATGTTATATAATAAAAAAAATGTATTTTTTAAAAACTATTGTATATATTATCAATGCTTTCTAAAATTATCAAATGTGCACGCTGTACTCGTTTTCACTACACATTTTCACGTGCTATATAATATTGATGAATCTCTTCGAAACCATATTATCATTCGCTGATTAGTATACTGTAATACCAGCAATCCATAAAATCGTTCAATACTGAGATATATACTTCATATGTATGTACATGATAGAATATATTTAAATTTAATATGTACAATAATTTATGTTTTGTTTTCATTTTAAAACTTAATTAAAAAATTTTAATTTTTAATGAAATTACATATATAAATATAGGATATTAACGATTTCTATTTTATGAAAGTATTTTATGTTTATATATTTTATGTAATTATTACTGTCTAAATTTATTTTTAATATTTATAATTAAATCGATTTTTCTTTATTCATTTTAATTTGAAAATATTGATGGATATTATTATTTACTGGAATTTTTATTATCATATATCCTTGTAGTTAAGCTTCAAATTTAAATAAAGTCTGTATACAGGGTATCCCAGAATAATCGCCAAATATTTCATGTGCTGGTAAAGAGACCTAAACTGAATCAAAAAATCTTCAGAATTTTTTATCAACTTTTTTTTACTACATTTTCTTTTTGGCAACTATTTTTATCAATATGAGAAAAGAAATGAAATATTCTGAAAACATTCTCGAAACTCTATGAGAAAAAAATAAATAATTTTTGTCCTTGTTGTTTTTCCGTAAAGTAATACTTGAGAAAAAAATTATTAAAAATTTAATATATTCAGCAATTTTTAATAATTAATATCTTATTAATTATTGCGAAAATTGCAAAATGATAGAGGACTTTTCGATTCAATTTGGTCCTTTCTATCAGCAGAGAATATTTGACAATTATTGGGAC